ATCCTGCGTTCTCCTCCTCTAGGACTATCCTGCGTTCACCTTTGTATAATTGTATTATATTTCTTCCTGCCAGGTTGATGTCACTTGTGGGAGGAGCTCTGTGAACTATGAACTCATCGTCCCCCCGGCCGGGGACCACGCCGCCGGTATCCGTTGCCAATGTCCCGTACCTGGTGACAGAAGTCCTGACGGCGGTGGTCTCCGTGGTGGGCAACACTCTGATCTGCGTGGCTGTCCTCAATGACCGCCGGCTGCGTACTGTTACCAACAACTTCATCCTGTCCCTGGCCGCAGCGGACATCCTGGTGGGAGGCGTGGCCATCCCCTGCGCCGTCCTCCTGGACCTGGGCGTGGCCCGGTGCGGACTCTACTCCTGCCTCCTCATGCTCTGTAACCTCATGACCTTCTCCTTGGCCTCCATCTTCGGGCTCTTGGCTGTGGCGGTAGAGCGTTACATCTCCATCTTGTGTCCCTTCCGGTACGGCGCCGTGGTCACCCCCCGGGCCTCCGCGGTGGCGATCGCGTGCACGTGGATCCTGGCGGCCGTTGCCGGCCTCATGCCGCTGATGGGGTGGCGCAAACCTTTCCCTCCTGGAAGCCAATGTCTGTTCGGCAGCCTGATCTCCGAGTCGTACATGGTCTACCTGGTCTTCTTCGGCTGCGTGGTCCCGCCCCTGGCGGCCATGCTGGTCCTCTACGCCCGCATCTTCCTGGAGGTCCGGCGGCAGATCCGGCAGATCGCGGAGTGGGAGGTCAGCCGCAGGCGCCGGAGGAGGCGCATTGTGGTCAGAGAGTTCCGCGTGGCCTCCTCGCTCTTCCTCGTGGTCTTCTGCTTTGTGCTCTGCTGGTTTCCCATCCACATCCTCAACGTCCTCCGACTCTTCTCCCCAAGATGGCCGCCCCCCGAGGAGCTGGTCCTCACCGCGGTCATCCTCTCCCACGCCAACTCCGCCATCAACCCCGTCATCTACGTCTTCCGCATGAGGACCTTCCGGCGGGCCGTGGAGGCCACGCTATCCTGCTCCTGCACCGCCGCCTCCGTGGGAGGTGTGGCTGGCTCCAGCCTGGCAAAGGCCCCCCAGGGGCAGAGGAGAGGCTCCT